CTCACCCTCCTCTTCTCCAGACTAAACAGTCCCAGTTCCCTCAGCCGCTCCTCTTGTGCTCCAGACGCCTCACCAGCCTCGTTGCCCTTCTCTGGACACGCTCCAGCACCTCAACGTCCTTCTTGCAGTGAGGGGCCCAAAACTGAACACAGTATTCGAGGTGCGGCCTCACCAGTGCCGAGTACAGGGGCACGATCACTTCCCTACTCCTGCTGGCCACGCTATTTCTGATACATATTCACTACTCGAGGATGTTAACACCAAAACTTTATGTCTACTAAGTAATACTGAAGAAATGAATGCATTTTGACAACAAACAACATCCCTTTAAACATACAAATTGAAATCCTGGCAATGATTCTTAACAGAGACATTTGCAGAGTGTCACCAGCATTTACTAAGCTTTTCTCTACCTACCTTCCACTATGATGCATCTTGACAAAGAAAAATCTTTGACAAGTGACTTGCACTGTAAAGAAAGTCTAGCTAACCAAAAAAAAAAAACAAACCACCCAAAAAAACCCAACCAAACAACTGCAACTTGTCTGAAGAGATTAAAGCAGAGTTTGAGGATATAGGTTGATACTATAATTTGCTATGTCTGAAGCTTGTCACCAACCATGCACATATATCCCTTTACATCAGTAACAGAAGTCTGGATGCATTGAGAAATGATTTACTGAAGCATTTTTCATCATGTGAAATAAATATCATGGTCTGCATTCGGGATACAGAATACCCGATGCCACTTACTCTGCTTTGCATAGTTTGTGCCATGCTTGGTGATATTTCACCGAGTTCTCCGCTTCTGTAGAACGTTCAAGTTCTGTTGAATCTATGTACTAATGACAAAAAATATGCAATAAAAGTCATTTCTTCCACAGAAAGAGCAGCATACACTATATAACCAACTTTTTAATAGCATTAAGACAAACGTATTAGAGTTTCAAGCGAATTTCCCAATAAACCCATAACAACCTCACTGAAGACCCAGTATTTGCTCTAGTTGCAGTAATCCATGCCCCTTTCTTTGCACATAGCTCCAAAGCTCTGCCTGCCTCCAGTCCTCCAGGTAAGCAGACTTAGTAGAATGCTCCATAGCTGTATACCCAGGTTTTCTTCCTATGGAAATCCGGGCACCAATCAAGGGGTGGTGCTGACCTTACCCTGACATCCAAATGAGATGTGACCAGGGTGTTCACTTTCCTAGCTTTTGGGTGCCACAGTTTACCTAATCTTATCACAGGCTGGATAAACCTGCATTGTCTAGCCTGTGAGAAAGGCATTGCTGGGGACTGACATGAAAGCATCAACTGTAGAGAGGGAGGCAGACTCATTACCTATGTCCTACTAGAAATACTGCATTAGAATCTCTGCTGCCATTAATAGGCATGGCTCCTGAGGTACCACTAGAGCAAATGAGCGAGGCGGCTGTGTACTGCACCGGGGACACCAAAGATCAGAGTTTGATTCTTGGTTTTGTCAGTCTTTTTCTCAGAATAACATAATTAATAGCATCCTGCTGTAGAGTCCATCCCCCATAAAAACGAGATCATCTGAAATGACAGAAATCATTTGTGTGTGAAGAAACGAAACTGACAAGATTGCTGAAAGTTTTCCAGATAGGATTGCCTTCTAGCAAACATCATCTACTTTTTCCACACTCCAGAAGGCATCAAAAATGCAACAGAAAAATAACTACTTATGAATGTTGTTATTCTATACTAGTAGGATACTGTAGGACAAACTAAAAGGACACTTTATCATGCTGGGAGGTTGGAAAGAGAAACTAATTACAGTTGAAGTTAACTGTGGTTTCCTTGCCAAACATATTGAGCCAGCACATTTATCACTTCAAGCAGCATCAACATTTCATCATTCAGATATGTGGATGGTAGGTTATGAGCTGGATGCCACATACAATATTAAGCAGTTTCTTCAGAACACAGGATTATACGGAGAGCCTTTGGACAAAAACACTAAAAAGGAGGTTAGCACACACAGGTAAGTACAGTAGGCGCCCTTGTCTTAACATTTCAGCACCGCACTGGAGCTCCAGCAATCATCGATTCACATGCTCGTTAATGCAAAAGCTCCACGGAAATTAAGACTAGCTGCACACAAAGCTAACTGCGCATTTGCAGACTTGGCGCCTTTCACTTTTTTGCTAAAAGCAAAGTTATTTTACGTATCATAAAAATTTCCCACTATGCAGCTGCCAGTATAAAACACTATTTAGAGTGACAGAATCATGTAGGTCGGAAAGGGCCTTGGGAGGTCTCTAGCCCAAGCCCCTGCGCAAAGCAGGTCAAATTAGAGCAGGTTGCTCAGGGCCATTTCCAGTCAGGATCTGAAAATCTCCAGGGATTAATTCTGGCTGTTCCCACTTTCTCGTTTTTCATGCACACAGAAACAACTTTTTGGAGTATTTGCTCCATAATCTTCCCAGGGAATGAGGTGAGGCTGACCACCTGCCATTTCCCCAGATCCTCCTTTTTGCCTTTTTTTAAGATTGGTGCGACATTTGCCCTTTTCTAGTCATCAGGAACCAATAGCCACGACCCTTCAAAGCTGATGGGAGAGTGGCCTCACAATGACACCAGCCAGCTCCCTCAGCACTCTGCGATGCATTTTGTCTGGTCCCATGGACTTGTGTATGTCCAACTGGTCTGAATACTTCCCAGCTAGATGTGTATGTATATCGTGGAAGAAAACTTACTTATTTCCTACAAATATATTTATTTTATTTTTTTCCTCCATGACACCTCCTCCCCTTTCCCTTCAAGGGACAGGAGACAGGCTGGAGCCTTAAAACAGAAGCTATTTCTTCCCTAAGCTGAGGTTCTGGTGGTTGGTTTTGTTTTGGTTTTTTAAATATATTTTCCATGATACCTACGAATTGGCTTCTTAGTCACATAAACACATAAAGTTTACTTGAATTCTGCTTAATCCTTATAATTTCAGAGATACTTTTTAGCAGTGAACACTCTGCATAAGTTCCCTAGTATGTAGAAAAATATTTCCTCTTATTAAACATGAAGTTATTTTGTTTTCTTGAGTGGTTCCCTAGCTGTTTTACATGATAGGTAGCAACCAGTTCTCTGTCTCTATACTATTCAACATTCGGCATACCTTACAGAGGACAGCAGTAGAAGGACACTAAGATAAGCAGTTTCTGTTTTTTTTCCTTTTCTCTTGATAGGAGGGGCCTCTTCCCCCTCCCCAGAGAATAAATCAACCCACTTCTCTCAGTAAAGAAGTCCTACAGAAAAAATAGTTCAGATTTGCTTTTGTTTTGTGCATCTCTGCATGCCTCCCCTACTTGAAAAGGTTCTGGGATGACATCAACAATGAGAAGCAAAAGATGAAGGATTTGCAGCTGACTGATGTGCCTGACAAGCAGCAGAATGATACTGTGAGAAAACAACAGGGTGATTTCAGAGCCCACAACAGCGCAAGCCACAGCGAACAGAACATTCTACATCATCACAAGCTGCTGCAACTACTTCACCATCTGATTAACAGTCCATCAGAACCAAGCAGTGATGGGAGGATACAAAACATAATTGGTTATCTTGGTACAGGGGTAGTCACCTTCTCCACCAAGTCACTGAAAAGAAAACACCTGAGGTGATACATTCCTGGTGACCTGTGTTCTCAAGAAAACAGAAGTATGTTACCAGGTTTCTGATATGAGAAATTCCTTCTTTAGTACTCAGTGTTCATGGTTTAGGGAACTTATCTTCTCCCAAAAGATAACAGAAATACCACTGTAAACAAGACTCCCATGTATTCATTACTCTGTGCTTCATTAAAGAAGTACATATGCACCCCTGGTTGTTCTAGGTGCTCCCATTGCTTCTTTCTGGGGTAGATGGACTAAGACAACAGAATGGTGGCTACATCTTTGGCCTGCTGCCTTCAGCACCCTGTTAAGCCATCCTGGATATTAATGACTTTCCTCGTCAAAAAGTGGTTAGTTCCAGTGAGAAATTTTCTAGAGCTGAGTGGAAACAGCCTTGCACAAGCATTATCTAAGCAACCCATGCATAGCTTTTGACACACTGAAATTTTCACTCTAATATCGTCTATTTTTTATATCACAAAAAAGGGAAAGTTCAACAAAGGTCACAGGGTTTAGCAATTTTCAGGAGTTACCAACGTGCATAAACACATGAACTTGCCTCGATCAGAGACAGGCAGAGACCAGAACCTACTGAGTGCAGTACAGCCTGCAACTGCCCACTTTGATCAATCTATCTTACATCATTTAATAAATCACTCTAAAGCAGCATGTCATTGCTGATTCTTTGCAACCATTTATTACTGTTTCGCTACTGCAAGTTGCTAAAATGTCCTCTGTACCCATCAAGTGATAATAATACACACTTCCACACTGCTTCTCTGCCCCAGACTTGCCATCCCTAGCAACAAAACTCAGCAATGGAAACTGATAGTTCCACCAGTGAGAAAGCCAGTAACAGTTTCTCCCCATGTAGTTCAACTTTCTATTCTCATTAAAATGAGACAAATTAGATCCCTAAATAGTCCTTTATTCGAGGAACTACTATTTTGAAGAAACTAAGTTTATGGCCCAATTCTGCTATCATTAGAATCCTGCTGAAGATAAAATGGACAGCTCCCAGAATATTAACTGAAATGAAGAGCAACAGCTTCTGGCACAGGATTTTGGAAAGCAGTTTAGTTTCTTTTTAATTTACCTATTTTCTCCTGTCTTTAAGCTGAATCCTGCTGAAGATAAAATGGACAGCTCCCAGAATATTAACTGAAATGAAGAGCAACAGCCTTCAGGCACGGATTTTGGAAAGCAGTTTAGTTTCTTTTTAATTTACCTATTTTCTCCTGTCTTTAAGCTAATCTCATTAATATGATAAGCAGTTGCATGAGAACAAGTGAAACCTACCTTTGACAGTAAATATAAATTCGCAGGTAAAGTCTGCTTTTTCATCAGATCCAGTTTTGGGTAATTGCAACGTTCCTTTCAGATAAGTTTAGTTCCAAATAAAATAATTAAATCTGTAAACACTTCTTTAAAAAAAATGAGATGCTTGGCTAGTCTGTATTTATCTGCATGATTCATTTTCTAATTTCCACATGAATTAAAACTGCCTCACACGATGGGAACTAGTAGAGTATATTCAAAGTATTCCTGAAAGCAAAATCCAGAAATATCCTCACCATTAAATCCAGTTTGTGATTAATTGCCAGCGCAGAGTGTTCCAGAGCCTTGAAAACAGATGCGTAGCAATCACTTAGTTTTGTGTACTTGCCAACAAGAGCTATGGAACACACCTTCAGCAACCTTTCATATCTGACAAAAACAAATTTTTCGGTTATTACACCAACTTTCACAAAGAAAACATTTTAACATTGTTTGCTTTTTCTTTAACTTCACAAAACATCTTCTAAAATCTCAAAACTGACAATGTTTTTAAACCCAGACCATTCACAAGTGTTGATCAGCGGCATGCTACTGACCCCAATCCAGTTTGATGACCACAGCAGCTAAAAACCTAACTTGAATTAAAACACTTCTAGAAAAAGCAGCAGGAGTTAAAATACCTGTCAGCCATTTTCTTCCATTTCATTAGGAGATCACTTGGCTGGTCATCAATAGGTAAATTTAACCTCTGTTTAAAATACTTAATGATGCCTTGCTCCTCCAACAGGATTGGTACTCGATAAGTGGAAGAAACATCATGGATAAATATTACCTAACAAAAAAAAAGCATAACATAAAAGACTTACCTAATATTTTTCATAGGAAACATACATTCTATTTTTTGTATACTACATGTGTTTTGTATTCTACATACATTCTGATTTTTAAATAGTTTTCTTTTGAGTGAGCAGGGCAGCCCAGCCAATATTTAAGGTTCCACTAAATCTACAAGGAAAAAGCTACCCAAAAGGTAAAAATGTGTTTCACTTCTTCATCACACCATCATACAAAAATAGCTTGTCAAGACTATCAACGCGTCAGTTTTAATACAAACATCTGGCCCCACAAGCAGTCGTGCTTGCTAACACTTCTTTCTCCCTCTCTCACAAACTTGAAGAATATTAACTGGGAAAGAAAGAACACAAATGGAACCTAACAAAACAGACCCAATTAGGTTGCGATAAAGTCTCCTAAAAGAATTTTGTTAGTGAATTCGGTTATGTAATTAATTAATGAGTATAGTCCATTCAAGGACCGTTTAGTTAAGAACACATTTATAAACCACGTCCAAACTGCTTGCAGTTAAGTTCATTGCACTTGGCTTACACAAGACCACAGCGTTCAGAATCCTGAGCACAAGTGTTCTCTTCCCTGATACACATGAGAACTAAAGGATACTCGCTTAAGTTATCCTTGAGTTACTTCTGTTCCTCACACAAGTATGTACACATGCATGCTGCCCCACGCCTCTATGTGCCCATTCAACAGCAAAAAGAATAGGGTAACCACAGTAGGAATAAGGCTTATCCAACTGTTCTTCCAAACTTGGCAGCTACCATCCTAAGGATGTAACATCAATAAAGAATCACTAGCTGCTCTAGGTTACAGCCGTGCTGACTACGGAGACTGTTATAATCCTGAAACAAGCTGAAGACATTGCTTTTGTTTTGGTGGTACATACACTGAAGCGAGGAGGGAGGACTCACTTGATAAAAGCAAATTAAAAAAAAGAAAAATCCACTTAGAGGAAGTCTGTGGACAAAAAAGCATGTGGTCTTCATGGACTAGTTATGACAGTCCTGGAAACTATTTCCAGGCACACAAAAGATAAGCAAATCATCAGGAGTAGTCAGCATGGATTCACCAAGGGAAGGTCACACTTGACCAACTTGATAAACTTCTACAACGAAGCGACTAGCCCTGCAGATGAGAGGAGAGCAGTGGATATTGTCTACCTGGACTTCAGGAAGGCTTTTAACACTGCCTCCTATAAGATCCTCATAGACAAATCGTTCACGTAGGGGCAGGATGAGCAGACGGTCAGGAAAACTGGTGGAATGGCTGGGCCCAGAGGGTGGTGATAAGCAGCAAAAAGTCTAATTGAAAGCCAGTAACTAGAGGAGTACCCCAGGGGTCAGTACTGGGTCCAGTCCTGTTTAACATCGTCATTAATGATCTGGATGATGGCAGAGCGTACCCTCAGCAAGTTTTCAGATGACACCAGCGGCAGGAGTGGCTGATATGCTTGAGGGTCATGCTGCTATCCTGCCAACAGGCAGGAGAAATGGGCTGACAGGAACCTCATGAAGTTTAACAAGGGAAAGTGCAAAGTCCTGCACCTGGGGAAGAACAACCCCAGGCACCAGTATGTGCTGGGGGCCACCCAGCTGGAAAGCAACTTGGCAGAAAAGGACCTGGGTGTCCTAGTGGACATCAAGTTGAACATGAGCCAAACAACAGTATCCTGGACTGCATTAGGAGGAGTGTTGCCAGCAGGTTGAGGGAGGTGATCCTTCCCCTCTACCCAGCACTGGTGAGGCCACACCTGGAGTACTGGGTCCAGTTCTGGGCTCCCCAGTACGAGAAAGACATGGACATACTGGAAAGAGTCCATGGCCCACAAAGGGCCGTGAAAGTGATTAAGGGACTGGAGCATCTCTCAAATGAGGAAAGGTTGAGAGAGCTGGGACTGTTCAGCCTGGAGAAGAGAAGGCTCAGGGTGGGGGTGGAAAATCTCATCAATGTACAGAAATATCTGAGAGAAGGGTGCAAAGAGGACGGAGCCAGGCTGTCTTCGGTGGTGCCCAGTGACAGGACAAGAGGCAATGGGCACAAACTGAAACACAGGAGGTTCTCTCTGAACATCAGGAAACGCTTTTTCACTGTGAAGGTGACGGAGCCCTGGCACAGGTTGCCCAGGGAGGTTGTGGAGTCGCCATCCCTGGAGATATTCAAAAGCTGCCTGAAAAACGGTCCTGGGCAACTGGCTCTAGGTGGCCCTGCTTGAGCAGGGGTATTGGACCAGATGCCCTCCCTTCCAACCTCAACTACTCTGTGATTCTATGACAGCAAATAAATGGGAAAGGTGGACTGAAAAGATTGATCCCCTTGAGATTGTAAACCACCGTTCTAGACACAAAATAAACTGTAGCATCTTCTCTACTGGCATTGCACATCACTCCAGGAAGAAGACTGATGATGCATCTAATCCTTCAGTTCACAAGAAATCCAGGATCATTCTAGCGAATATATAGACATGTGGCCAGTGTCTTCTGAAATCCAGAAGTGATTCATTAATTTTAAGACACACAAGGGACTTAAGAATGGCTTTGCAGAATTCTGATGAATACAGTTATGAAAAGGAAAAAAAAAAAAACAAGGCTGCAACGCAGTATGGCACCTAGCAGCATCCCAGTTCAGTCCACTGGGTCTAATCACCAGGGACACACCTATATTACACAATGCAGTGCTGTGGATAGACGTTTGAGCTAGCCAGAACAGCACAAGAAGAGTGCAGCACTCTGCCCAGGATCATATACTCAGCTTCTCATGAAAGCTGTGACTGATACAACTATTGAGCTTCTCCCCTAGAAAGCAGAACTTGGGGGGGGGGGGGGGGGGGGGAACAACCAAAAAAAACCAGTGCCATGAAGACAGCTCCCTCCCTGCCAGGGAGCTCTTAGAGAAGTTCAGTTACACATGGGACTCTTGGTCCAGTTAGACTGGCATAGTAACTGCAGTTGGAATCTGAGTATGTACATGCTTACACATGGCCTGATACTGCCAGAAAAGCACACACCATTTTTGTTTGACTGAACTTCCAGTTGTCTCTCTCTGGCTGGAGAGGAACCACAAAGGCATTTCTGAAGGATTTTGCAGAAGCTAGCTCAAGGGTGTTGTCTTCCACAGATAGTAAGATGGAAGCAAGGGGAGGGAAGTAATGGCCATACTGCCCTCTATGTCCTCATCGGGAATCTTACTATAAAAAGCTTTCTCTTACACACCTGCAGAGAGAGAGGTCAACACTAATACATATTTGAAATACAGCATAACTTTGTTGACATCTGTTACCCCTTTAATATCATCTATATTACATTGAAGAGTAAAATGCTCTCACTTGCAAAAATATTAAAGAGCATTTGATTTATCAAAATTAATATTTGAATAGCAATTAATCACAGAAACTATTAAGGCCAAAATCACACATGAATTATAAAAGGATATATAACTACACAGTAGATGTTCTAAGCATGTTAAAGGGCATGAATAGCCTATTACATATTATCACAGTAAGAGTGTTCACGTGGCTATGATGATCTATGGACATAAGCAAAACCCCTAGCTTTAACCATACTTTGTTCATCCACTATTATAACCACCTGCGATGATTTATGGACAACGACCAACCATAGCTTGAAACTGCACAGTTTTCACAACTATGTGTAGCAATTAACCATGCACTCAAAATCTATTCCTTTTATTAACTTTTTACATAAAAAGCATTTAAATTTTTAATGACCGTTTGACATAAAATTTAACATATAAACTCCCAATATTTTTAAAGTGTTATAGTGTACATGACAGCAAGATAAAAATTGTAAAAACAATTACATAGTAATGAAACAGTCTGAAGTTGAAAACAGAAATGCACAGAAATATTTGTATGCTTTCCCACACGTTTAAGTAATGATGAATAAAATATTAAAGTACTGACCTGCTCAGGCTCCACATGGCAAAACATGGAAATCTTTTCCTTCACTGCCATTTCTATAGGTTTTGCACTTCTGCAGACAATCTGTCATAACAGAAGGAAAAATCTTAAATATTTACTAGGCAAACCAATAGAAGATCCTCAATACTGTTTATGGAGAAATTAATCTCCTTTGGAAGCCCGGCACAAACAAATGTGCCTTTTTTTCTCTTCCCCTCTTTTGGAGTTCTACAATATATCACAGCTCACACACATATATCTGCTAGCAAGGCAGAAGCAAATCAGTCACCCACTGACCCACTTCTATTAACCTTTCTTTGGCATTCTCTGTAATACTGCTTCCCCATGTTCTCCTTTCTTGTAGCTACTATTGTAATACTCTACCTAAAGTCTAACAGCTCCATAAGTATGAATAATATGATGAATCAAAAGAAATATTGTGATCTTATCAGCTAAATTTAGAGCAACACTACTTAGCTTATATGCATGTTTTCTACTACTTCAGTACTCCAGCATCTTTTTGTAATTCTTAATTTACACGTCATGATAAAAAGAAGGAAGCTGAAGATGAGAAAACTGTTTCATAATTTTGTGGGTTTTTTCCTGGTGCAATTATTCTGCTATTATTTTGCTGATACATGTAAAACTCAGGAATTTTAGAAAATACTGACAATTTTTACCAACAAAGAAAATAAGCATGTGTTTTGGTGTTTGTTGGAAGAGGGTTTTTTGCATTATGTAACTTCAGGCAACTAACTCAAAATGCAGAACTGCTCTCTCAATGTGCCTATCGATTACTTAGTCTACTACCTTAAGTTATTTTGAATAATGGAAGTATAACAGAAAGTAGCACAATCCTGTTAAAAGATTAAGTCATTATTTTCCCCATATTTCTAGCAAATACAATTACTTAACGCATTAAGCCCTTTTTTGTTCAGAAACTCGTAGCTGATCTTTGATCACCTTGCTAGAACGCAGCTTAGCTACACTGATATTGCTGAAGTCTAACTTCCTCTAACCTTGCAAGAAATTCTAAAAACAGAAAAACAATGCCAAGTATAAGGGAAAATTAGTGTACATTCTAATAATCAAAAAAGAATTATGAAACAATTCGTACATTCTATTCAATTACGCACAAATTATACTTAAAAATTGAGTACTGTTTGAAGACATAATTCATAAACCTTGATAGTATGAGCACATGATTAGATCCACTTAGAAATCCATCATCCATCTTGCTGAGACAAATTTAAAGTTAGTGGAGTCACAGAAATCAAAAACATCAGAATCAGCATGAAAATACAAAACGACATAACAGTGGCGGAGATGCATCTCAAAGAAACATAATACAAAGAAGATGAGGAACAATTCAATTGAGTAAGGCGGCACTGACAAGCATATAATCAGTTTTCAAAATGCTGTAACAGAATCCATTAAATCTGGAGATTTAGCATACTCATTAAGCGCTTAGAACACCCCATGGAGAACATAAAGGCCCCTGTACATACACAGCTGAGACTGGCCCAGCATGCCACCTCGGGGAAGCCTGGGACCAGACAGCGAGGCAGCAGGTATTAAGAACAGGTCTAGCCGTGTTTAGATCAGGCAGCCTGGCAGCACAGCTTATGAAGGAAGCCCTCCTGACCGCTGTTCTAGGAGCTTCCCCATGTGCTGTTTTGGCCTTGGGCCCCTGTCCAAGACAGCAACCATATAAATATTTTCTTGAAGCAGTGCCCAAACAACTTACAACAGCGCCAAGAGACTTTGCTCAGAGTGTAATCTCTCTATGCTTTAGTGGTCAACAGCAGCAGCTTAGAGGCGGGGGGGGGGGGGGGGGGGGGGGGACGCCGCACTTTGGCC